TGCAGCTGCCTGTGTGCATATCATGAGTAGAAATTATTGTGTAGTTGTTTGCATATCATGAGTAAAAAAATCTTCTTTACTTCTACTGTGATTACGGTAACAAATTTAACTTTGATTAAAATAAAAAATAAATTGTCAGCATTTGCAATTTATTTGTGCTGCTATTAAAAACATCAGTTTATGTAGTTATCAATATTATATTGTTTTATATATTATAAATTTTTACTCTATCTAGTTTAGATTTTATTTTTTTACAATTTTCATAATTTTTTCTTGAGAACAGCTGAAAGTTTACTTACCTGTAGTACATTTACTTATGTTTCAATGTTTTTTTTATATTATACCTACCCACATGACACGGAAATTTAATGGATTAAGTTCTTTAAAAAAATGCACTTCAAAGTTACATTTCCTTTTGTTTTATTTGAGATTTTTATTGGAAAGCTTCATCTCATTTACTTGTGGAAGAATTAATGCATTACTGGAGTGATTTAAGTCATTAAGTAAAGATATCCCATCAATTATTGCTGCAGTTAAATTTATTTTCAATTGACTCATACACATGGGGAATATTATATAATTCGTCTGGAATAGTTGTTGTCCATTATCGAGCTCAAGTTATCTTTCTTCTTTCCAAAACTTAAACAAATGGAGGCCAAAATCTACGTGAATGACAGGCTAGATTTACAAGTATATTTGTCAGGAAAACAAAAACGGAAACAGTTTTTGAAGCTAAATGATTCAGTGGCTCATAGAAATTGCATTTTGAAACACTCGTTTGCTTAAAATATATTACCGAACGTAAGTAAATGCGTTAAACGGTGATGCAATGCCAAAAAATATCTTCTGAATCGACCAAACCTACATTATTGACACACGTTTTATGTAAACTGCTTGTTCCTCTATGAAAAGTTTATGGACGTTCAACCTTAGATATTTATCTACATTATATCAAAATTTGACAGCACAATTCGCTACGGTTCCTGAGAATTCAATGATCAAAACTATGAGGTCGTTTTTGCTGTAGCACATGTCAAATTAATTCCGGTCAGGCAAACGGCTCGTGCAATTAAAATTTCAGCCAGGGAATCCCGCGTAAAAATAAAATTCAGGAGTGAAAGTGGAATGGTTAATAACTCCTTAAGGGGTCAATTGACAATTTTGGTCAAAACTTATTTGTAGATCTTACTTTGCTGAATATTCTTGCTGTTTACAGTTTATCTTTATCTATAATAATATTAAAGATAATAACCAATAAAATGCTCCGCAGGGCGCAGCTTGATTTGACCGCAGAGGTCGAACCCTGAACAGTTGGGGCAAGTATGGACACAACATTCAAGCTTGATACAGCTTTGCATTTGGATTGTGATTAAATATTTGACACAGCATAGGTTTCTGACACAGAATGAATGTGGTCTAAGAACTTAAAAATTTTAAATTGGACATTCACCTATTATGGTCCAATATCCAAAATCTAAATACATTATCAAAGAACCCCAAGAATTCAATTTTTGATGAAATCAAACAAAGTTTAATTTTGGACCCTTTTGACCTCAATGTGGACAAAGTTGATAACTGGACCACAAAAACAAAAATCTAAATACATGGTAAGATTCACATATCAAAGAACCCCATATATTCAATTTTTGTTGAAATCAAACAAAGTTTAATTTTGGACCCTGATTTGGACCAACTTGAAAACGGAACCAAAAATTAAGAATCTAAATACACTGTTAGATTCGGCATATCAAAGAACCCCAATAATTCAATTTTTGATGAAATCAAACAAAGTTTAATTTTGGACCCTTTGGATCTCAATGTGGACCAATTTAAAAACGGGGCCCAAAATCCAAAAACTAAATACACGGTTAGATTCAGCATATTAAAGAACCCCAAGAATTCAAGAATAAAACCCCATTGAAATTGGTCAAGAAATAAGCAATTTATACGAAGTATCTTCTTTTGCACAATACTGTGCAATTAAATATTTCTTGCTATTGCGCAATACTGTACAATTGACAATTTCTTGCTATTGTGCAATATTGTGCTATTGGATATTTCTTGCTATTGCGCAATACTGTGCAATTGAAGATTTCTTGCTATTGCACAATACTGTGCAATTGAAGATTTCTTGCTATTGTGCAATACTGTGCAATTGAAAATTTCTTGCTATTGCACAATACTTATTATATAATAATTTACACATCCTGTTTGGTGTGTATCTCCTACCATATCATTATTATTTGCTTTTAAATATAAATCAGAAATAACCAACTTAAAATGGAAAATTTTAAAAGAAAAAAAAAAGGAAAAAAAAAAAAATCCCCTCCCCCAAATTTTTTGAACCCCCTTATGATTCATCATCCCCAAACTCAATCCCAGCCTTCCCTTTGTGGTATGGTACCTTGCAGTGCAATTTCAGAGAGATCCATACACTTGAACACAAGTTATTGTCTGGAAACTAGAAAAATGTGTTTTTTGGCCCCTTTTTGGCCCCAAATTCCTGAACATTTAGGGCAATTACCCCCAAACTCAAACCCAGCTTTCCCTTTGTGATATGGAACCTTGTAGTACAATTTCAGAAAGATCCATACACTTACACACAAGTTATTGTCATGAAACTAGAAAAATGCTTGTTTTTTGCCCCTTTTTGGCCCCTAATTCCTAAAATTTTGAGGCAATTACCCCCATCATCAATCCCAGCCTTTCCTTTGTGGTATGGTACCTTGCAGTACAATTTCAGAGAGATCCATACACTTGAACACAAGTTATTGTCTGGAAACTAGAAAAATGCTTATTTTTGGCCCATTTTTGGCCCCCAATTCCTCAACGTTTCGGCAATTACCCCCAAACTCAATTCCAGCTTTCTCTTTGTGATATGGAACCTTGTAGTACAATTTCAGAAAGATCCATACACTTACACACAAGTTATTGTCTGGAAACTAGAAAAATGCTTGTTTTTTGCCCCTTTTTTGGCCCCTAATTCCTAAAATTTTGAGGCAATTACCCCAAAATCAATCCCAGCATTTCTTTTGTGATATGGAACCTTGTGGTACAATATCAGAGAGATCCATACACTAACACAGAAGTTATGTCTGGAAGTTACAAAAATGCTTATTTTTGGCCCCTTTTTGGCGCCTAATTCCTTTACTGTTGGTACCATAACCAACAAAATCAATCCCAACCTTCCTTTTGTGGTATTGAACCTTGTGGTAAAATTTCATAGAGATCCATTCACTTAAACTAAATTAGAGTACGAAAACCAATGTGTCTTCGGACGACGACGACGCCATACCAATATACGACCACAAAAATTTTTTTGCGGTCGTATAAAAACTGCAAATTTCCTTAAAATCAGTGATCGGGAAGGACGTGCGCCTTGCGCCAATTGCACTTATCGACCAGAAATGGCGCATAGTGTGACAAATGTAAGCGCCCGCGTGGCGCATGATATTTTTCACTTCGTTTTGAAACGTTGAGATATCGTCAAATCGATTTCCGATCGTATTTCGTGCCGCCATGTGCGAGTACACAACTGTGTAGTGTTTACTCCAATGATAGGAGCACCTATATATTTTTGGGACGTCTCGGGTGTTTTCCTATGGTAATAATAGCAACATGCGGTATGACTGATAACCCAAAAAATGTAATTAACCATCATTCATGATATAATTTTTTTATAAACAACTTTAAATTTGTGAAAATTGGCTAGTACCTAATTGTAAACTTTTAAGTAAGCTTGCTATTATTTCGATTGAAAAATCCAAAAGCCTTTTTATGAATAGCATAGTATTTGTCTCCATAAAAGGGGCTTAACTGTCCTTGTCAATTGTTTTGGTCTTTGGCTCGTTTTGACATTTTGTAAACATGTCTTCAGCGAATTGTTGTTGTGTCTTATCAATTAACGTTGCTCTCTACTGTTATTCTTGTCATCGTGGTGAAGTAATAATAATACAAGTGCAGAGGAAATGCCAGAAACGTCCTCTAATACAGAACGTCTGGAATATGTATGGTATCGACGAAGACCCAAATTTAATGTAAAAAAAAAACATAAACATGAACAAGGGAACAGTACAAGTTTTAACATTGTAAATAAAGGTTATCGTAAATATTGCCCGGTTTGGAAGAAGTTATTGTATATTCATTGAAATTGAAATTACAAAATCACAGGAACAATATCCATGATATTAATTAGAATCATACTTGTAAGTACAGTGAAATATACACTTTTTTTATTTTTATTTTTTTTTATTGTAAACGAATGGCCCACTCATTTGACAGCATGGCCCATTAATTCTAAAAATGGCTCATTGAATTTATTTTTGGGGGGCCCTGGGCCCATAGAGAAAAAATCCTTCCAGATCACTGTTAAAATTACCAATTTACTGGCAGCAACCCAACAATGGGTTGTTAGATTCATGTGAAAATTTCAGGGCTGATAGAACTTGACCAAATTAACATTTTTACCCCAATGTCAAATTTGCTCTAAATGCTTTAGTTTTTGAGATACAAGCCAAAAACTGCATTTTACCCCTAGTGTTCTATTTTTAGCCATGGCGACCATCTTTTTTGAAGAAACAGAAAATTAAACACAGACTTTATTCTAGATACCCTAAGGGTCATTCAGCTTAATTTTGGTTTGAATTGGTTCTGTAGTTTCAGAGGAGAAGATGTTTGAAATAGTTTACACCGGACGGATGACGACGGACGCCAAGTGATGGCAAAAGCTCACATTTCTTTTGGAAAGGTGAGCTTATAATAAAAAGGAACATCACTTTTATTGCTATTCTTCATATTGACAGTTGCTAGACAGATGAAGTGATTAAATTCATCGATAAAGATCGCATAAAGCACTGAATTAATTAATCTGAAATTTTAATTAGAAACTGCTACTGTCTGAAGAATTAATACCATAATGTTAAATAGATTGTGATGAATTTCTACAACTTCTAGTCCTGAAACAATTATTTAACTGATGAATGGGAAACATGGAAAAGTACCTCAACATCAACAAGATCAACTTCATTTCTCTTTCTTTTCCTGCCTGGCTGCATGTCATCTCCATTCATATACAAGGCTTTTTCCAAAATTTTCTGGTCAAATGTCCCATAAACCAGTTTTCTTTGTCTGCTGCTTCTTCTAACATCTCCATCTGCTGCATTGTTATTTCTACTATATTTCCATGATCTTCTTCTAGCTCTACCATAACTTACAGCATCTATTTCATCTGGGAAAGCCCAATTATCATGATTATGAAAAAATATTTACAATATTCACTATAAATGTATATATTAATACATACAGGTTAATTTTCTTAGGTATGCAGACCTAGAACAGTCTTAAACTTTTGCAAAAAATTATCAAACAAAAAAAACCCATTCAATTATGAATATTAAAGCAGAGCAGCCTTATTTTGCCCAATACAATAATGAAAATTTAAACTCCATTTTTACAAGAAATGAAATTACATAAATTCCTGGTTTTGATATTTCAGTCTGATCAACACAATTTATATATATTAATTGTAATTGGCATTGAACTAGCTTTGATTAACAAGGGTTTTTACATTTATTTTTTTAACAACTTGCCCTTTGGGCAAGTGACCATGATGTATTACTTGTCTGAAATAGGAAACCACTTGTCCAAATGTTGTACTTGCTTAAGCAATTTCTCAATTGCCATTCATGTACATAAAATCATGTAAATGCAATTAAAAATGGAATGAAACTTTGCGTATTGTTGAAAGTGTTGTACCAAGGCAACTTGGACAACACCAGTTGAACTGAGTTCAGCAGGAACCTAAGAGAAAAGTAAAAGAAGTTTGACTTATTTGTCTGTCCTTTCTTATACTGTTTACCTAATTGTGTCTTCATATTTTTTTCATATAATAATATAATCAAATCATTTTGTAAAGTTATTGAATATTCTTTTCATACTTTTTTGGGGGTTCCATAATTTTCACCAAAAAACTACTCCAGAGTCAGCTGTAGTGCCATCTTAAATCACAGGGCATGGTAATGTTATTTTAGAACATAATGTACTCTCTATCGAATGAAAACACTAGGGAAAAAGACCATTTAATTCCTGGGCCCTTGCATTAATCTGGGATTGATAAAGTTAAAATGTATTTATTTATATTTTTTCCTTAAATTCACTTTTGTTCAAAGTTTTTAAAACAGATGATGTTGAAGTGATCTCAAATTGATATTATTGTGTCTTTGATACTTTCCCTACAATAGCTAGGTCTAATCTGATTGGTTCATTAAAGAATGCATCAACAACAGAATCGTACTCTGATTGGTCAATATTTTTAAAATGGCTATAGTTAGAAGGGAAAATACTTTAATGTCAGGCTGATTAGACTATAATACTTAAAGAGAATTGATTAAGACTAGATTCAGTATTTTTTTATTAAGACTAGATTCAGTATTTTTCACCATTTTTATCATTTTATTTTCACTTGCCCATCGGACAAGTACCCTGTAGCTTTTGCTTGCCCTGATGATGACTTTCACTTGTCCGGGCAATTGTACAGCCGTTAATGTCGAACCCCAAGCCCGTTCCTATTGATATTTACAGTTTGTTCTTATGTCATGCGGTTAAACCACTGTCCCAGGTTAGAGTGAAGGTTGAGTGATTGTGTCTGTCCTAAGTCAGGAGGCTGTAATTCAGTGGTTGTCAGGTTCAGGTTAGGGTGAAGGTTGAGTGATTGTGTCTGTCCCAAGTCAGGAGGCTGTAATTCAGTGGTTGTCAGGTTCAGGTTAGGGTGAAGGTTGAGTGATTGTGTCTGTCCCAAGTCAGGAGGCTGTAATTCAGTGGTTGTCAGGTTCAGGTTAGGGTGAAGGTTGAGTGATTGTGTCTGTCCTAAGTCAGAAGGCTGTAATTCAGTGGTTGTCATTGATTGCTGTCTATCATATAAATTTAGTTTTTGTTTATTGTTTTGTACACAAATTAGGCAGTTGGTTTTCTAGTTTGAGTTGTTCTACATTTTGTCATGTTAATGAATTCGATAGCCTACTATTTGGAATTGATTCTGCTCATTTTTGAAGGACCTACAGCATGTACAGTATCCTTCTATTGCCTATTATTGCTGACATTTATGTCATTTGGACTTTGTTGAATAGTTGTCTAATTGGCAATCATACATCTTCTTATTTTTTATGGTAACCTACCCGGTATGTTTTATCTGATAAATTTCTAAGATCTCAAAATTAGAAAACAGACAAAAGACTGTGAGAATGTATAAACTCCCCTTGTTTGAAAATAGAGAAAACTTCCCACCATTAATATCAATAATTATATTTTGGTAGAGAAATTGAAATGCAACAAAATATTTTAAGGCAGCACTGTTGACTTATTATGTCAGTAAACTGTTGACACAGTGATGTATCTCGCCTATATGTCATTTTGATAGTAAAATGCAAACATTGAAATTAAAATAGCAACACTTATATTTTTACAATATGTAAAATATGCAAAATATTCAAAAGTCAAAGAAACTTGACTGAAGGTACAGGGCCAATTAATTTTCATGAAAATAAGATGTGCCAATGGTAACACAATAATATAATAGGCAAAAACACAAAATTAACCCTTTGAGGCAACAACTCCTGAAAGGATTCACCTGATAATATTGGTCATAACGGATAGTTAGCTATTATGGTTTTCAAGAAACTAGACAATTTATGCATTTTACCCTTGTTCTTTTTTTAAGCCATAGCATTCATGTCAATTGATTGGAAGGGGAAATAACACAAACTTTATACTACATGTAGATACCCATGGATATTTCAGTTTAAGTTTGGTCAAAATATGTCCATTGCTTTTAGAGGAAAAGACTTTTTTCAAAGTTTACGATGACGATGTACAACAGACGACAAGTGATGATAATAGCTCACAGGTGTGACATGACTCATAGAGCTAAAAATCAGTATGATAACTGTTAATTTTAAGACACTTTCTCACATGAGATAATGTGAAATGCTATTTTAAATTTTATTTCTTTACCATCAGCACTTTCATCTTCCTCTTTGTACCTCCTGAAATAATAATGAATGTCATTATACAACTGGTAGTGATATGGTACAAGAAAATACACATATTTGTACAATCTTGTCAGTTCCACAAATAATATCACATAGATCTGCCATTTTCTGGTAAAGCTATATTACAAATGCTTGTGGAGCACATTTTTGATAACTTGCTTGTTTTGTTTGTTTGAATGTTTGCTCAAGCAGTCTGTGCCAAATGCCGTCAGTCCTGACAGATGAAATAGACGCAGGTCCGCTAAATTGTATGTCAATTCCGATCCGTATGCATGGTGTTTTCACCGTCTCGGTTCTGTGACTTATTATTGTATTTTGATATGTGTGCACACAGATCGATAGAAATGAAAACTTCCGGATAAAATGTTTACTCTAAAGTATGTTCAAGGGGCTATCCCCGGTAAGCCCTTGAAAGAAACATGACTGATGAAGGAAGCAATCATTACAAAAAGCGCAAATACGATATATAATATATATATATATAACAATTATTTTTATTTAATAAAATTTATCAACTGCTTTATTGAAATGCAATTTTTACCATGAATATCATCATAAAACAACACAGTACATTTAAAAACATAAACAACAAAATAAGCTTGATTAATTGATTTTTTTTCGGACAGACAAAAATCTGTTCCGTCAGACAAAACCTACAACACTGTTTGACCAAATGTCAGACAGAAACCAAAAGAGTTTGGCACAGACAGCTCAAGCATGGTAATTTAAATAGTACCAGCAAACAATAGGTTGGCAGAGTTTCAATCTGTTAAAATCATATTTAACTTTGATTGGATGATTTACTAGTGGTTATGTACACCAAATTGTGTACACTGATAAGTTCTGAACTTTGATTTAAGTTTATACAAAATTAAAACTGAATGATAATTTACCTACCCTAAAAATTCACACACCTAATTAAATGGGCATTTAAAAAGTCGGAATGCGAATACATATGTTCAAACTCTTTTAGGTCATTTTTTAGTAGCAACAAACAAAAGAGCTATGTCAATTGGACATGCTTTGATACTATATCTGCCCTTGAATTTTTACTTGATAACATTTTTGTTCGCTTTGGAGATTCCGTATATCGTCAAGTTATCAGAATTCCAATGGGGACTAACTGTGCACCACTTATTACGGACCTGTTTTTGTATTGTTATGAGTTACAATTTATGACTAATATCAGCAAAGACCCATCGAAACAACATCTGATACAAAAATTAAACAAAACTTTTAGATATTTGGATGATATATTGGCTCTCAATAATGACGACTTCAGTATGTATACTAAAGAAATTTATCCTGTTGAACTTACTTTAAATAAAGCTAATACTAACAATGACCACTGTCCTTTCCTCGATCTTGATATCTATATCATTAACGGGAAGCTAAATACAAAAGTTTATGATAAAAGAGATGATTTTTCATTTCCTATCGTTAATTATCCATTTTTAGATGGTGACGTTCCCTTGTTCCCTTATGGTGTTTATATATCTCAACTTGTACGATTCGCTCGTGTATGTAACAACATAGTAGATTTTAGCGAGAGAAATTTATGCATTACTGAAAAATTATTACACCAGGGTTTTCGATATCATAAACTGTCAAAACATTTACTAAATTTTATCATCGGTATAAGGACATCATTCGTAAATATAACTCAACCTGCAGACATCTTATACGTTCGGGTATTTCACATCCAATCTTTTATGGTAATATTCTTTACAAAGGCTCAAAGCACAAAAATGTCAGTATTCACCTCAAAATTTAACAAAACCTTTAAACAGACTTATTAAGAAGGGATATAGTTACGATACTGTTGTCAGGGCATTAAAGATTGCATATTTTGGCTTTAATATTGATTCACTTATAGGGTCTTTGCATCGGAATTAAACATATTTATTCTAAAACCAGTTGTTGGCATGACACGGGTTATGTTCTTCTCATATATTTTATGATGGTATAATACTAAACCCCTAACAGGAGGGATTGTCCCTGATATTCATATGATGAAGACATAATCTTTCAATCAGTTTAATTGAGGTTTGGAGCTGGCATGTCAGTAACTGCTAGTAGTCTGTTGTTATTTATGTATTATTGTCATTTTGTTTATTTTCTTTTGTTTCCTATTCTGACATCGGACTTCTCTTAAACTGAGTTTTACTGTGCGTACTGTTGTACGTTTGTTTTTTCTACATTGGCTAGAGGTATAGGGGGAGGGTTGAGATCTCAAAAAACATGTTTAACCCCGCCACATGTTTGCGCCTGTCCCAAGTCAGGAGCCTCTGGCCTTTGTTAGTCTTGTATCATTTCTAATTTTAGTTTCTTGTGTATAATTTGGAGTTTAGTATGACGTCCATTATCACTGAACTAGTATACATATTTGTTTAGGGGCCAGCTGAAGGACGCCTCCGGGTGCGGGAGTTTCTCGCTGCATTGAAGACCCATTGGTGTCAAGTATTTCTGATAGTTTCAATCGTTTTGACTAAATTAATTAGATGCAAACCGCTGAAATGTAAGAAAATAACTTTGAATAGACCGATCAATGTCCGGTACAAAATAGTTTACCTGTTGCCTGAACAGGTAAATTTCAGCTGTCCGACAACTAATTAACCTTGATTAAAATGAGAAGGTATTAAAGTAGGGTTTGTTTTGATAGTACTTATTCATCATGTCACTTTTATGTCCGGAAATGTGTGGCTTTTTAAGGCAAAAGGTCGGGTCAAAAAGATGGCATAAACTTCCAATTTTTTTCTGAGTTACGTTAAAATGACCGTCTCTTAAGAAAGCCTTGAAAACTAAAAGAAGATGTCCATTTCATGCTTTTCCAGTCGGACAATGTCCCGTAAATTTATAAATGTCCGGAATATATGACCGTTTTTGAAGCCATGGTTCAGGTGACAGGTTAACAAATATGTACCAGGCATTGATCTGTCTATCTGAAGTTATTTTTATAAATTTCAGCACTTTGCATCTAATGGATTTAGTCAAAAAGATTAAGATTATCAAAATACATATATATAAATATGATTTGATGAAAAATTTAAAAAGGTAGTTTCATAGGTTTTAAGCGAAAAATATTCAGAACTATGTTGTCTGAACTAGTAAACGTGTGCACATTTGCACAGTTGTGAGATTGAATTATGCATCCGAATTCTGAAAACATGCTAAAATTATCATTGATACCTTTATCTTTCTTTCATTTCAAATACCGGTATTTTCTTGAACAAATAACGTGGAAAGAGCTACTAAACTCAATCGTGCTTTGTAAACGTACACGGATTTTACGTATTCGTCTCTGGTCCATGTTTTGCCATTGTCAAGTCAACATCCGGTATTAGGAAAATGTGCTTTTTAAAAATGAAAGTAAAGTTTTGACAATGTTATTTTGCACAAATAAAGAGTCTAACTTAAGGCAGATACATGTATTAGTACGCTGATGTTGCACACTTCGAATGATGCACTGTCAATTTAACAGTTTACATCAGAACATTGAATTTATATCAAAGCAAAATTTAATATCGTTTTAATGTCAATCATTGCCAATGGTTATATGATGGCCAACTGATTACCATAGTTGCCTTTTGATACTAAGTCGTAAGGGATTAAAATCGGGATATGACCTAAAATATCACTGGCTCAAATATTTTTTGGAAGCCCTGACCTGAACAAGTAAATTTCAACTGTCTGACAACTAATTAACCTTGACTGTAATAAGAGTGTATTAAAATAGGGTTTGTTTTCATAGTACTTATTCACCATGTCACTTTTATGACTGGAAATGTGGCTATCTAAGGCAAACGGTCAGGTCAAAAATTAATTAAAGATCACAAAAACTTTTTTTCTGAATTATGTTAAAATGGCAATCCACGTTAAATGTCCGTTTCAGCTGGGACTATTAATAGTCCCATGTTTCCGGTTCGACACGTCATAAATATAATTTATCGGACAAGTTAGGACGATATGACTCTGGAAGCCCTGGGACAAAACCTAAATTACTTTGCAAAAATGAATGCTGGATTCCTAAATCATTTATCATGAAGTCTTTCTTAATTGTTTTTTTATCACTGGAATACTGTTATTTCTATCATTTGAATACCTTCCTTGAGGTGTCTGCTCCTGTTTAACCTATTCTTATCTGATCTATTAAGATCTGTCAGTTTTAAATGTAATGTAACATACATGTACTAGCAAAATATTCAAATTATCTAATTCAGCATCAACATAGAAAATAAATGTGAATGGTATTGGGCAATGAAGTTTTCACAATCTGTTATAATTTATAATACTGGAACTTGAATTTGCAAATACATAAATTTTCCGGTTTATGACTTAAAAATTCGTAAGGGTTCCACGGAACCCAGTGTCTCCCCTACTTTTGCTGTTAGTCACAGGCTCAACAAAAATGGGGAAAAAAATATTGAAAATTTTCCTCTAGATACTATCTTTTGATTGTAAGACGTTCTGTTCAAGTTTGGTAAAAATCCAAGAAGGTTTATGAATGTAATAAATGTTTTAAAAACTTTTACTGCAGACTGTACGTAATGTTAACTGGAATAAAACTAAGTCCATTTATAAGTAATATACGGAAAAACAGGAAATATATTTTTACAAAATTGGATACTATCTTATGATCACAAACAAGCTTCTGTCCAAGTGTGGTACAAATCTAGGATAGTTTAAGAAAGATATTAAAATTTTAAAAACTTTAACCACAGAGTGAATGTTATGTTAACTGGCAGAAAAACTAAATCAATATATGAGTAAAATACGGATAAACAGGATTTTTTTTTTTTACAAAATTTTCTTCTGGATACTATCTTATGGTTATAAACAAGCTTCTGTCCAAGTTTGGTACAAATCTAGGATAGTTTAAGAAAGTTATTAAAATTTGAAAAACTTTAACCAAAGAGTGAATGTAATGTTAACTGGCAGAAAAACTAAGTCCATTTATGAGTAAAATACGGATAAACAAGATTTTTTTTTTACAAAATTTAGTTCTGGATACTATCTTATGATCATAAACAAGCTTCTGTCCAAGTTTGGTTGAAATGCAGGATAGTTTAAGAAAGTTATTAAAATTTGAAAAACTTCAACCACAGAGTGAATATTTGTGGACGCCGCCGACGACGACATATAGGATCGCTATGTCTCGCTTTTGCGACAAAAGTCGCAGGCTCAACAAAAACCAATAAAATGCAGGGCGCAGCTTGATACGACCGCAGAGGTCGAACCCTGAACAGTTGGGGCAAGTATGGACACAACATTCAAGCTTGATACAGCTTTGCATTTGGATTGTGATTAAATATTTGACACAGCATAGGTTTCTGACACAGAATGAATGTGGTCTAAGAACTTAAAATTTTTTAAATTGGACATTAACCTATTATGGTCTAATATCCAAAATCTAAATACATGGTTAGATTCAGCATATCAAAGAACCCCAAGAATTTAATTTTTGATGAAATCAAACAAGTTTAATTTTGGACCCTTTTGACCTCAATGTTGACAAAGTTGATAACGGGGCCCAAAAATCAAAAATCTAAATACATGGTTAGATTCAGCATATCAAAGAACCCCATATATTCAATTTTAGTTGAAATCAAACAAAGATTAATTTTGGACCCCGATTTGGACCAACTTGAAAACTGGGCCCATAATCAAAAATCTAAATACGTGTTTAGATTCAGCATATCAAAGAACCCTAAGAATTCAATTTTTGTTAAAATCAAACTAAGTTTTATTTTGGACCCTTTGGACCTTAATGTAGACCAATTTGAAAACGGAACCAAAAATTAAGAATCTAAATACACGGTTAGATTCAGCATATCAAAGAACCCAAATAATTCAATTTTTGATGAAATCAAACAAAGTTTAATTTTGGACCCTTTGGACCTCAATGTGGACCAATTTAAAAACAGGGCCCAAAATCCAAAATCTAAATACACGGTTAGATTCAGCATATTAAAGAACCCCAAGAATTCAAGAATAAAACCCCATTGAAATTGGTCAAGAAATAAGCAATTTATACGAAGTATCTTCTTTTGCACAATACTGTGCAATTAAATATTTCTTGCTATTGCGCAATACTGTACAATTGACAATTTCTTGCTATTGCGCAATATTGTGCTATTGGATATTTCTTGCTATTGCGCAATACTGTGCAATTGAAGATTTCTTGCTATTGCGCAATACTGTGCAATTGAAGATTTCTTGCTATTGTGCAATACTGTGCAATTGAAAATTTCTTGCTATTGCACAATACTTATTATATAATAATTTACACATCCTGTTTGGTGTGTATCTCCTACCATATCATTATTATTTGCTTTTAAATATAAATCAGAAATAACCAACTTAGAATGGAAAATTTTAAAAGAAAAAAAAAAGGAAAAAAAAAAAATCCCCCCCCCAAATTTTTTGAACCCCCTTATGATTCATCACCCCCAAACTTAATCCTCACCTTCCCTTTGTGGTATGGTACCTTGCAGTACAATTTCAGAGAGATCCATACACTTGAACACAAGTTATTGTCTGGAAACTAGAAAAATGTGTTTTTTGGCCCCTTTTTGGCCCCAAATTCCTGAACGTTTAGGGCAATTACCCCCAAACTCAAACCCAGCTTTCCCTTTGTGATATGGAACCTTGTAGTACAATTTCAGAAAGATCCATACACTTACACACAAGTTATTGTCCTGAAACTAGAAAAATGCTTGTTTTTTGCCCCTTTTTGGCCCCTAATTCCTAAAATATTGAGGCAATTACCCCCATCATCAATCCCAGCCTTCCCTTTGTGGTATGGTACCTTGCAGTACAATTTCAGAGAGATCCATACACTTGAACACAAGTTATTGTCTGGAAACTAGAAAAATGCTTATTTTTGGCCCATTTTTGGCCCCCAATTCCTCAACGTTTCGGCAATTACCCCCAAACTCAATTCCAGCTTTCCCTTTATGATATGGAACCCTGTAGTACAATTTCAGAAAGATCCATACACTTACACACAAGTTATTGTCATGAAACTAGAAAAATGCTTGTTTTTTGCCCCTTTTTTGGCCCCTAATTCCTAAAATTTTGAGGCAATTACCCCCAAAATCAATCCCAGCATTCCTTTTGTGATATGGAACCTTGTGGTACAATGTCAGAGAGATCCATACACTAACACACAAGTTATGTCTGGAAGTTACAAAAATGCTTATTTTTGGCCCCTTTTTGGCCCCTAATTCCTTTACTGTTGGTACCATTACCCCCAAAATCAATCCCAACCTTCCTTTTGTGGTATTGAACCTTGTGGTAAAATTTCATAGAGATCCATTCACTTAAACTAAAGTTAGAGTGCGAAAACCAATGTGTCTTCGGACGACGCCGGACGACGCCAGACGACGACGCCAACGTCATACCAATATACGACCACAAAAATTTTTTTGCGGTCGTATAAAAACGACTCACCAACCAATTATCAGTAAGGAAAAACTTAACACACATTATTTCTTTAGGTCTAAGTTAACTTATCTTGCATTCATTCATCTTGTATTTTCTTTTAAAAAGGACAATTAGTTTTGAAATACCTATGTCTACTTCTTCTCAGGGGTGGAGATTGGGCTTCTTGTCTATGGTTAAGATCTGCAATTTGAACTTCATCGCTTTCATCACTCTGTGATTCCTACAAAGAAACAATCATTATAAATACAAATGTCACAAAGAATTTAAATAAATTGAACCTTAGGCTTAAGCATGCTTAGTGGGCAAACTCACATTACAAATGGTCATGCATCAATTTAAAGAAGGGGAGAAAAAACACTCCTGTAAAATAAATCTTCTGAATTATTATTTTCTTCAAAATACATTTTTGTACACTACAAAATTGATCAAAAACCAGTCGGAAGGCCGACGACCCTGGTTTGACCCCATTTCTAAAGACAACAATGGAAGTCATGTGACTAACATATTTGGGCAGATTTTTTGTCATTTTTTGTTCAACTGAAATGAGTCAGTTTCCTTCAAAAAGTCCTATCCAATGAAATCATTAAATCGTTTCTAAGGGCTTGCTTTTTGACTTTCGGAATTTTAATATACTTTATGGAAAATACTGTTTCAATACAAATAAAAATCGTGATTCACAGACTACAGAACACATTGCAATTTGTCAATGAACAAAATAAATGCATTGGTTGAATGGTCACAAATTTTGATTAAATTAGTTAGCAGTTGCAACAAATGATTTATTGCCGAAAGGTTTTAGAAGAAATCCTCACAAAAACACTCTGGTCATAGCAATACTATGTGGTCGGTCAGGAAATTATCAGGAATGTCCTTCAACGCATAGCAGCCGTTTTCATTTTCGTGTGAGCAAGACAATGTTACCAGTAACTCCTCCATTGAAATTACTTCAACTGAATACTTCAATAACATCCAAAGTAAACCAGGAAACCAGTTTCCAATGATTTGACAAACTACCAAGGTGACGGAAGGAACCCTAATGACCTTTACTATGTCCCCACAGGATTTTTGAAAAATTCCTGATCCAAACGCAAACGATCCTATATTCAACGAAATAAACATGTTATCCCCAAATTCTGAATTGAATTGTCTGTGGTATATACTCAAACATTAAAATAACCAGATAGGGTGCTGATTAAAGTGCAAGAAACGTCTACTTGATGATGGAAAACGGCCTTTTCCCTGAAAAAACTGCAAACAATTGCACACAATTTGAAATTAACAGAATGTTACTAGACATTTAATTACAATTTCATGTACAATAAATGGAGAATGTGTCCATGGGACACAGATGATGCCCCCACTTGCATATGTGACAAAAAGATTTTTTTTCTAAATTCCTATTAAAAATTAACCAAGATGATCTAATCAATGTTTATTAATGCTGAATGTGTATTTTTCCCTTTATTGGATCATTATTCTTTTGTCAGCTGTGCCATTTGGGAGTGTAGTTTATATTATCGTAAAAATATGGATTTCCGGCATGGTTGATCCACCTCTGATCGATGATTTATATAAATTAGTCAATGGCGGTTGCAGAAAAATTGCAATCTTTGAAAAACTATTTGGAAAGGAATATGACATTTTAAATGGTTCAAACTTTAATATAAGCCATTGTCAATCACGTTCTTGTGAAGAAACTATTTTTTTTAGCGAAAATATTTTTTTTTATCTATGCTCAAGTAACAAGCTCTGGAAGTGAAAGAAAATACTTTGATTAGTTTGCAAAGAGACGTCACTGCCTCTGGTTTGCATGAATTGTTGTTTTTTTGAAATAGTCATTCTGCAAAGTGTATCAACACGTTTCTAAAGAAATAAATAGTCTTTATCTAGGAATGTCTTAATAAATAAAAAAGAATGCCGTTTCATATAAAACTTTTGACAAGTATAATAACTCAGACGTCGCCTGAACAGACTCGATGCGGTGGGAGCATAAAAATACTTTGACATTTGTCTCAATTTAAGCACACAATTTCAATAAACAATTCAATCAACACCTTTATTTATTAGTTCATTGTTTCCGAAAGCTATAAAATGCAATCAGATGATTATTGATTTTCTGTCAAAATCGTAACGCCTGACGACTTATAGGTGAAATCCCAGTATTGTCTTATCAGGGATTAAGAAGGAGAAACTTGAAAAAATAAACAAGATAGATGTTATACAATTCTTTCACCAATAATGAATTCTAATCATCGGAATTTTTTTCCCCGCCAAATGCGAAAATGCCTAAATGGCAACCCTGGGCAACATATTTCAGCAAGGATTCTGTATAACAGAGAATCTATACATAGTGGACATTATTTCTTAAGATGATTCACAAGAAATTCATTGGCTTTCACAGGGCTCGACATTACCGCTTGTCCTATTGTCCGGGACAAGTGGACACAGACGTCGGGCAAGTAGATTCACCATACTACTTGTCCGATGGGACAAGTGAAAAATCGATGTCAGATATAAAATATATCAAACTCAAGACTTATAAATTCCCAAAATATTGAAAGATTCTTTTAATGATGATACGAAATGAAATATATTCATTGATTGAACATGCTGGCAGCGGCTGACCAGGGGAATATAAGTAAGGGGAAGGAAACCAATGTTAATATGCTGGGAAGATTTCATTCGAACCTCTCAGGGAGAAGCGTTTATATCAAAAGGATAAATCCCGAGAGATCCTGGTCACTGGAATCTCGATCTCTAACATGTTTGAATCAGTTGAAATTCACAAAGTGGCCAGGTGTTTGAATGGGACAAATAATAAAGCTATGAATTTCACTAATACCCATATCTTGCATATAAACCTTTTAAAATTATTGATGGTGGCAAAACAAGCTTTTATAATTTTATCTTGATTTTTAAATACATTGATACAAAAAACAAGAGTGCACACGCTGAAATGTCTCGCCTTCTTTACTAATCATTGATATTATGTTGATAGTCCTAAATATAAAGCTTTATTACAACTGTCACATAAACTTAACATTAACCAAGTAAACTAAACATTGACCAATGAACCATGAAAATGAGGTCAAGGTCAGATGAACCATGCTAGGCAGGCATGTACAGCTAACAATTCTTCCATACAACAAATATAGTTGACCTATTGCTTATAGTTTAAGAAAAACAGACGAAAACACAAAAACTTAACACTGAGCAATGAACCTTGAAAATGAGGTCAAGGTCAAATAAAACCTGCGTGACTGACATATAGATCATAAAATATTTCCATACACCAAATATAGTTGAACTATTGCATATAGTATTAGAAAAAAAGACCAAAACTCAAAAACTTAACTTTGACCACTGAACCATGAAAATGAGGTCAAGGTAAGATGACACCTGCCAGCTAGACATGTACACCTTACAATCATTCCATACACCAAATATAGCTGACCTATTGCATGCAGTATTAGAAAGAAAGACCAAAACTCAAAAACTTAACTTTGACCACTGAACCATGAAAATGAGGTCAAGGTCAGATGACACCTGCCAGCTAGACATGTACACCTTACAATCATTCCATACACCAAATATAGTAGACCTATTGCATACAGTATAAGAAAAACAGACCAAAACACAAAAACTTAACTATAACCACTGAACCATGAAAATGAGGTCAAGGTCAGATGACACCTGCCAGTTGGACATGTACACCTTACAGTCCTTCCATACACCGAATATACTAGACCTATTGCTTATAGTATCTGAGATATGGACTTGACCACGAAAACTTAACCTTGTTCACTGATCCATGAAATGAGGTCGAGGTCAAGTGAAAACTGTCTGACGGGCATGAGGACCTTGCAAGGTACGCACATACCAAATATAGTTATCCTATTACTTATAATAAGAGAGAATTTAACATTACAAAAAATCTGAACTTTTTTTTCAAGTAGTCACTGAACCATGAAAATGAGGTCAAGGACATTGGACATGTGACTGACGGAAACTTCGTAACATGAGGCATCTATATACAAAGTATGAAGCATCCAGTTCTTCCATCTTCTAAAATATAAAGCTTTTAAGAAGTTAGCTAACGCCGCCGCCGCCGCTGTAGCCGCCGCCGGATCGTTATCCCTATGTCGAGCTTTCTGCGACAAAAGTCGCAGGCTCGACAAAAATGTTTATTAAGTACATAAAACATTCTACTGAGAAAATCTGCCTTTTTAGATTTTATTATAAAGCAAAATCAAATGAAATATACTTTAATTATAAATAAAACTGAGGTACTTATATTAGTGAATTTGTATTAAAAAGTTCCCCTTAATATGCCATGCATGACACTTTTATTGTTTATTTATATGTTCTGTACATATCAGGGATGTCATTAGAAGCCGGCAACCGGCGAATTCCGCCGGTTACTTCTGCTTTGGCGCCGGCTACTTCAAAATTGTCAAAAATAATATATTCACAAAGTTTTCATTTTTTACCAAGTCGATGAAACATTGATAATTAAAGAAATTCAGACATAAACGATTCATTTTCTGAAGAACAGAGATTTAAGCATTGACTTTACAGTGTGAAGCAGATTATTTAATAAAAAGACAACTTTTTATCACTTCATGCATTTCAGGAACTTGTTACACGAGATCGTACATCAATCTAACTTTCGGCGACAAAATAAGTTTGTTACTTCATTTGAACGTGATAAAAATTGCCTCCAGTAAATGTTTAATCCATTTATTGCATTAAAACGTTATATTCCTTTCCAAATAGCTTGTCAAACATCGTTTATTTTTGTAAATTTTCTTCGTCCGCCATTAACCTTTTACTAACTACGGATCGGAAACGGACCAGCTATGACCGAAATCCGTATTTTTACAATAATAACTACGGACGCATGAATGGAACAGCTGACAAGGAAATTGGTCCCAAATGGAAAAATTACGCATACCACACACATTAACAGACTTTTTGTTAGATTTACTAGATTAATGTATATAATTCCATTTGTTTCAAAATATTGATTAAACTTGCTTAATTAACTCTGGGACTATAATACTAATATCAATATATATGGCCCAGCTTAACTTTGTATATCTTTTGATGAGAAACACTGAATTTCATAAACATGATAAACAAGATAGTTTTTTATTTGAATTGTAATTTATATATTATAATTTCTTTATCTTTTTGTCATAAAAAAAAATCTTTTTAGTGCTAGATATTTAAACAACTTTGAATTTGAACTTTTACTTTAATTGTATACTCAGATATGAATTGAACAATATAAAAAGAACATTATTTACATATGACCCTTTGTACTATAGGTAGTAAAAACCAAACATTGTAGCACAAAGGAACACTTCTCTTTCAAATCTCACCACTTCTCCCTATCAGTTTCAAAAAGAGAAGTCACTTCTCCCTATGATTCTGAAGTAGTGTGAGCCCAGCATTATGCATTTAAGGATGTACTTAGGTCAGGTTTTGGAATTTCTGTCAGATGTTTGGACTCTGGTTTTTTTCCTACTATACAGGGTAAAATATTTTACCTGATGACCCCCATTTTTCTTTTCATATATAATACTTCAATTAATAACTCATAAAAGGTCATACACCAAAATTTAAGCAGATTGTAGATTTCTTCTCTTACCATTAGTTTGCTTCTTAACTTAAATGCTCTTGAAGTCTTCTGACTTATAGTATCAATTTTAAATTCTACATTTTTCTAATTTCACCAAAGTACATCCTTAAAGACTCATCTTTTTGAATGCAACAGTCCAATTCATCATTTGATTTATTGTATATAAGTATGTGAAATTATTAATACTGAGAAATAAAAAAAAATGTTGTCTATGGGTTAGAATTATTTGAATAATTGCATGTCTACAGTTAAACTAAAAATATTTTCAACTAATAAGATCAAATTTGAATCTTTTCCTGAATGATCATCATGTCTTACAGAGTCATGCCTTCATCATTTTCCTCAAACGACTTCAACTACTTGTAAGCTGAAAGTCTTGATATAGTGATAATAATATTTATGTGATCAACTTTATAGAAAATATGACCATCTTGCTGCTCATTTACCTTATCATCATTAAAAAAATGGTGTTTGATTAAGACTAAATTAGAGTTCAGGAGCCCCCCAGAATGCAGGATTTTTGCACCATTTTAGAAAAAAATTCTGGTGGCCTTAAGCGGCCCCCATACCCCTCGCCGTGATGGGCGACGAGCAAGCTCGTCGCACCGGACGTCTACGACGTCCGCAATCCTTGCCTTCTACTTTAATTATTTATCCTGCTACTTCAAAACCTAGTGACATCCCTGCATATGTTGGAAAAAAACGTTTTTATTCTTTAAAATGTTAAAGTTAAGATAAAACTCCATATGGAGGTGGTCCTACATTTGTAATTTATTAAAGTGATGATGATTTAATGATCGACACATGATAGTGAAATTGAGTCAGTCTGAAATAATAAAATTCGTAAGGGTTCCGCGGAACCCAGTGTCTCGCCTACTTTTTCTGTTAATCGCAGGCTCTACAAAAATGAGGAAGTAAATCAATAAAAATATTCCACTTGATACTATCTTTTGATTGTAAGAAGCTTCAGTCCAAGTTTGGTAAAAATCCAGGATAGTTTATGAATCTAATAAATGTTTAAAAACTTTAACTGCAGACTGAATGTAATTTTATCTGGAAGAAAACAAAATTTCCTTCTAGATACTAGCATTTGATCATAATCAAGCTTCTGTCCAAGTTTGATACAAATCCAAAATAGTATGAGAAAGTTATTAAAATTTTAAAAACTTTAACCACAGAGTGAATGTGTTGTTTCCTGGCAGAAAATCTAAGTCCATTTAAAAGTAAAATACGGAAAAAATAGATTTATTTTTTTACAAAATTTCCTTCTAGATACTAGCTTTTGATTATAAACAAGCTTCTGTCCAAGTTTGGTACAAATCCAAAATAGTATAAGAAAGTTATTAAAATTTTAAAACTTTAACCACAGAGTGAATGTGTTGTTTCCTGGCAGAAAATCTAAGTCCATTTAAAAGTAAAATAAGGAAAAAATGGATTTTTATTTTTAAAAAATTTACTTCTGGATACTATCTTATGATCATAAACAAGCGTCTGTCCAAGTTTGGTACAAACCCAGGATAGTTTAAGAAAGTTATTAAAATTTTAATAACTTTAACCACAGAGTGAATGTAATATTTCCCAGCAGAAAAACTAAGTCCATTTATAAGTAAAATACGGAAAAAATGGAATTTTATTTTTACAATATTTACTTCTGGATACTATCTTATGATCATAAACAAGCTTCTGTCCAAGTTTGGTAGAAATCCAGGATAGCTTAAGAAAGTTATTAAAATTTCAAAAACTTTAACCACAGAGTGAATATTTGTGGACGCCGCCGACGACAAAGACGACGACGACGCCGACGGAATGTAGGATCGCTATGTCTCGCTTTTTCGACTAAAGTCGAAGGCTCGACAAAAATGAAATTTGATGTGGTATTCTTTATTTAGTTACAAATTCATATAGCATAGCAAATTGCTCCCTGGCTTCATTAGGTACAATCAAAGCTCAAGTGTTATTGGTGCATACCTTCAATATGTAAGATTTTCAATTTTGAATTCGGACAAGTGAGTTAAGAGTTCGGACAAGTTGATTTTCTTACAACTTGTCCGAAGGGACAAGTTAGAAAATATGATAATGTAGAGGCCTGTTTCATTAGCAGAAGGTAATATGTACAGTGGAGTCCCCGGTGTCCGCGCAGCCGGTGATATCGTGCATTAGCTGATTTCGTCATATCAACACAGTAACTCAAATAAAATCGTTCTTGTTATTGTTTTAGCCTTCCGAAGGGATAAAAAAAGAATAAAATTGATAAGTTCAAGAGTTAATTAATTACTGCAATCCCAGGATTTACAATATTTGGCCAATTTCCATTAAAAAATTACATCATCAGATTAAATTTGTTTTAATTTAGTCAAATTTAAATCAGATTGAAATATTTTTTGCTCTGCATCCTTGGCAGTGTGTTTGGTTTAAATTCTGCTATATTTCATAGTATAAAATCTTTCCTTTATTCAAAATAAGCTATTTTTGGAAGGCATGCACGAAATCACCGGACATTGGAGGAACTCTCAGAACAGGGGTTTCCCTAATTTTGGACACGCATTACACAAAACCTGAGGGTGAAACCATACAAACAGAAGATTTTATGAAATAAAAGTATGTTATGAATGTGTTCACACAATATTATCCAATTATTGGTTTTATCAGTTGAATGAAGTGAAGTCACAAATCTTAGGTGCGCGGATACACTGGACTGCACCGTACCGAAATAAGCAACAAAATTGTTTTTTTCTGAAGTAAGTGCATGAAGTGTATTGTCATCAATTGTTTCTGAATAGGAACAACACATAATCTGAAATTAGTCTTTAGTATCATTATATAGTGCTTTGACACAATACAATAACATGCAACAGTTTGTAATCTTCAATATAAATGAAGCTGTAACTGTATACCAGAAGAAGAAGACACTATGATATGAGAGTTTTGGTACTTTCAATAGGAATTTCTGCAATTCAAAGTATCCAACATTCACCAATTATTTTGACAGGTGATATGAAAAACCCATGTAAGTTTCTAATGTTATGAAACAGATTCAAAATGTGTGGTTTATTATGTTAGGTCCATGGTACCCTGATTTTTTTTCTTCAAATTCATCTGTATTCATATAGGCATGTAAACACGATCATATTTGTACAATGATATGAACAAAGTCTTTGTCGGGAATTTGTTATTTTTTTTAACATACATAGTTTACGGATCGCTGAGGTTTATTCGCCCGATCCCTATTGAGAGACAAGAATGTATCAGGAGACCCTTCTTTTACTCCTATACTATTCCTTGTCTTCACCATCCCGATGGCTTCAAATTTCAAATACTTTCAGTTATCGTTCAGACACCATTGCCTTCTCACAATCTCCTGTCTGCGTCGCGCTAAAATAGTTCACAAAGATTTTACTTTTCGTTAATAGTTTGTATTTTGATTACAGTTATTAGATCCAAAAGATATTTGTATATTTCATATTTTATTTTTTATAAACATTGAGCAGGAAATTTAAAATAAATACAAATGTTCCTGTACCATCGCGTATGAATTTGAGGATGAAAATATGGCGGGATTTTGTTTTAAAAACTAGGAAATGAATATTTTTCCCGAAGTTTACTACCTATTCTAGAAGATGTCATGCTGGTGCAGTATTTTGTAGGAAAGTATAATAGTGTGCTAAAATATATAAAATTTAGCAAAATCTATCGATCTGTTATATTGACTTTCATACATTTTCTTTGTTCAGTGTTGTTGAATGAAACGGAAGTATACAATGATGATGGAGGGGAGATAATATTCGACAAGCAAAAAGAAAACATGAAATGATCATATCTTCAAAAGATATTGCTGTTAACCTTCTTAAGTGCCTTGTCACATTTTATGCAGTTTATTTTGCTGTTGGAAGTCTTGTCTATGCCTCATTTAGGTTCCCATTATTTAATATAGTTTATTAATTTATGGCTTTTAAGGTTCATCATAACAAATGGGCAAATATGGCCGTATTTTCACCTCAAAAACTACTCTGTGTACAGACTTACCTGTTTAGTTTGAAAAGTTTTAAGGCCTGGCATCCACTAGATATATAAAAGTTAAATGTATTTTGCATATCAGAAAGATAAAATCTTTTTTGGATTTTGATGGGCATTTTTTTTCGTTCCTGGAGAGATGCTCCCTCTCAGGTAACAACTGGTTTGTATTGCATTGATTGTCCTTGATTGGCATATACAAAAGACAGACAATACATATTTACACATCTATAGATGAGTTAAAGGTAGTAACTGAGTGGACAGTATCAAATGCAATTCAGGTGTTTGTTTATTTTTACACCTTCTGCAGGAAGGAAAAAAAATGCCCATCAAAATCCAAAAACGATTACATCTTTCTGAAACACAAAATGCATTTAACTTTTATATATCTAGTGGATGCCAGGCCTTAAAACTTTTCAAACTGTACAGGTAAGTCTGTACACAGAGTAGTTTTTGGGGTGAAAATACGGCCATATTTGTCCATTTGTTATGATGAACCTTAACACAAATCCTTGATTCATGTGGTGATAAATATAAAATTCAAATGCAATTAATGTTTTAAAAAATTAAAAACTTAACTGGATATTGTTGTGCACTTTTTTTGTTGCAGAAGATGATAAAATTAACAAAAGTTGAGTTTCACTTGATATGGTCCACTCAGTGACACAGTTTAAATTTTGTCAACTATCTATTATCTTCTTTCCAAACTCTGTTTATTTTCGGTAGGTCTTTTCACCACCGAACACCCCAAAATTATCTATAACTATGAAAAAAAACAATATTTTGTTATGTTCTCTTATCTATTTCACGTATTTTAGTAAAAAGGTTAACAAATAAAAAGGAAACGAGACCAATTGATAACACCCTAAAGAGTAGAAGAGTCATCAACATTGCAAAACACCGCCAAACACCCATAATTGTACTTTTTTTATCATTTTTTTTTATTTATTTTAACTTTTGTTGTAATTAAGTAAAATAGCAATAAAAGGAAATGAGACCTAATTTTAACATCGTACGGAATAGGAGAGTAACCGACCACACTGAACAACGTAAAACACTGCTGAACACAAGAATAATCTTCTTTTTTTTTGCTATTTATTTTGTCTACTAGTTATAATTAAATAAAGAGTTTCAACAAGTGTTATAGAAGGTTTGATAGGTTTAATAATGAAGTATTTAGATAACAAATAAAAGGAAATAAGAACAAATATTTACATCGAAGAAAAAAAAAGAGTCGCTGAACACATTGAAAACCGCTGGACATCCAGAAATAAGTCTATAACTGAAATCATAATGCCTAAACGTAAAATTTCGTACCTAACATGCCTAAAAAGGTCCGCTTTTTGGCTAGTAACTTCTAGTGTTTCCACTTTATGTTGTTTGACCTGTTTGAGAAAAGAAGTAGGCTCAGCCTACTATTTTTCATCTTGTTTACTTCGTCTTAATTGGGTAATTATATTTTCTTAAACAGCAAAACTGTTTTTTTCGTTTTTTTTTCAAAATAGTATGCAGATTAGTATATTTGTTAATTACGATTAACCATGAATAGCAAGGAAGACGTCAATCTGATTATCACCGACGTGTCTTAAGCTGAAATTTAATTATTTCCTTCGAACTTTCATTTTACACCTTCTTTTGTGGATATCATTCATTCAAACTTAAGTTATTATGTGGAAATCATTGAAATGATTTTTCTTATTTATTTCTGAGTTAACTTCAAACTCAAGCACAAATCATTATTGTTAATTGCGATTAATCATGATTGGGAATTATCAGGTTTAATCTGTTTATCCAAGACGCGTGTCAAGATATCATGAATACATTATGTACAAATTACATTATACTTTTCGCATTTTTTAGGATACATTAGCTGCATTTGGCATTACCTGTAGAAATTTTGGTTGGTCAAAAACTTGAATTTGTTTGATTGAAAGACCCTATAAAATGACATAAATATATATATTGAACAAAATAAAAAAGAAATCATCTGCCCAGAACCAAAAAAAAATACCTTAAATAAATATATTGAAATAGACATTGAATCACATGTATTTGATTCACAGAAACAATAACATAACAAATAACTAAACTTTCACAAACACCCTGTCAGGGGTACTACTTAAACAAGTGATTTCATTATCACCTATTTCAGTGATTTGATAAATTCAGTAATCACCTATTTAAGTGATTTTGGTGTTTCCTTTGATCTTCAAATGCTAATTTCATTGATTTTCCATATTTTGACAAACTTCTCTATAATCATGATAATTTTCCTACATAGATCAATTATCCCTTTTTCTTTGTATTTTAATTTCACCAGTGCGCTTGGGCAGTAAGTTAGTGGTTAAAGCTTTTAAAAGTACCCTTGGGAATTTTTCTGTAATCAAATATTCATTTACTACTCTTACTATCAGAAAAGGTCAACAATATTAGGTAACCTGATTGATTTTCTTTAGAGTTAGAATGATCTACTTCAAGGTTATGTCCTGATCTACAAATTATTCCAGTTTTTGCATATTTTAAATAATCTGTAAAAACTAACAAGCTTATCAAGCAAAAGACTATTTCTGCATGTACATAGTTGTTTTTTCAATGGAATTCTTGTCTTTTTACCAATAAAAAAATCAACCTTGTGGCAAAAATATCAAGAAAATGTTATAAACACTTATTGAAGTGATTATATTTTAACTTCTCAAATTACTTGTTTCAGTGATTTTAAAAAGTCTGTGTCTATTTTTGTGAAAATTTTTAATATTTCACAGCCAAAATCACTCGAAGAAGTGATTCTGAAATCACTTGTTTAAGTAGTACCCCTGACTGACAAACGCTGTGTGTATTCTCGGTTTAATTATTCTTTGAAATTGCGATTAAAAAATCAACAAATTCAACAGTTTTCTGCTTTAATTGACACACATTATTGTTTTTTTCATAGTTTTAATTCACTTTTGGGGTGTTCGGTGGTGTTAGGCGGTGAAAAGACCTACCCGTTTATTTTGGCAACTTTTTGTAGGAACGAAAAAAAGAACTGCCACATCCAGTTCAGTTTTTTATTTATCTAGGGCATGCTATGCCTTAAAATTTTTCTAGATACACAGGTTTATCTGTACTCGGGGGAAATTTCGAGGTGAAAGCAGCCATTTTAGCCAAAGGGTCCACAAGAACTTTAAACAGGTTGGGGGAGATCCTATTAAATGGGTACTATCCTCATGGATGACTTTCAAATTCATGCCCTTTACTGTAAATTTCATAATGCTTATGTTATTACGTCACACTGACACAGTAAGAACCAATTGTTTGATGACGTCAAAATGTTGTCATTTACCTGAATTTTTGCACCCTTGAAATCAAAAGTTAATATTTTATCACTGAAAATTAATACCTGACTGCCTGTTTTGGGATAACAGCCATAAATAGGGATAATACCCATTAATGAGGATCTCCCTAACCTGTTTAATACATGATTACTCCTGTCAAATAAAAGCCTAATTGGTCCATTTTTTATTGTATCTTCGACGTACACATATGAAAAAATTTGATGTCATAAAGCAAATATCTTTACGTCACAATGTCCTATAATGAGTTTTCCCCCAAATGACCCCATGTTAAATGGGGGAAGATCATTCTTAAAATGGAAATTGGAATCTTGTGTATTAATTTAAATTCAGTGCATATGAAGGGTCTGTAGAAGCCTTAGGCTGATTATGACCTCAATCCAAAGGTACTATATAAAAATAAGAAGATGTGGTATGATTGCCAATGAGACAACTATCCACTAAAGTTCAAATGAAATGGATGTAAGCAATTATAGGCAACTGTATGTTGGTCTCCTACTTACATATTTTTGTGTGAATAGTATGTCAACAAAGTAATAAGTTGACATTAGCTATAACATGTATAAAGAGCTGTTAAAAAGAGTTTGACACAATTTTGCTCCTGAGGAGGTCGAAGTGTTATTGACCTTTTTTACTTGGATCTTAGTCAACCCCATGTTTGTGCCAACTAAATATTAAAGATGTAAATGTGCATTTACCTGTCAAGGTGTCTAATCTTGCTAGAATTCTCAGGTTCCAAATTTATGGCACCTTGCCTTCTTGCTTGTTCAGCTGTAGGAGAGTGATGCTAGGTAACTGTGTTACCCTCTTAAAATAAAGTTGAATTTATGTACAACTTCTCTGGGTGTTGTACCATTCGCATCAATGTGTTTGTCTGGGAAACCCACTAGTCTAAAAGGGCAATTACACGACACCCTCATACTTAAAAACAAGGACTTACAGTTCTACAAGCGATTGTTTATTTACATCTTAATTTTTTTTGTATGACAGACTCTCTACTAGCATGACTAGCACATTATGATATCCTTTCAATAAATTTTTAGGGTGAATTACAAAGTAAAAAAGTTCTTTATTTTCAATCAGAAAATTCTCAAGTATTAGTAATGTGCTCGAAAATTTTCTTGATTTTTTAAATGGACTTGTAACATCCATGTATTTTAGATAAAGACTATATCTTTTGAAAGTTAATGCTAATTTTGTGAATAAACACCACTTTAAACAGAATGTATTCATTTAAAATATTTCTGTTAAAATAATGAAAATGAACCAAATAAGGGGAGTGAATAATGGAATCTTATTTTAGGACTTCAAATCTTAAAAAATAAGGTTTACCAAAGAAATCAGTTACTGGGTTTAATTAAAAATGTTTGATCATAAATATGAATATTAAGTAACAGATTTCTTTTCTTTTACTAGACAAGCAAATTTTGATGGAAAAATCCCATTTGATTTTGAAGCATGGATATATTTATCAGAATGCTGCAGTGTGTACAAAGACAAAGATTTGGGTAAGAAGGACCATGGAGAATAATGCTCTACCTCAGTACTTCTTTGTTAGATAAGTCTTTTTACAAAGTAACTGTCAATATATTTTTAAAAGCTGTAAACAAAAATAGAAAGTAAGTGACTGAGCATAGTTCCTTTGCAAAGTCTTATTACTAATACAGTTAACGTTGCTCAATATCAATAAAAAAAGATATGGGGTAAACATTTGTCAGATAGCAACCATAAACAGTCAGGCATAGATATGGAATAAATGTTTAACAGATAGCAACCATAAACAGTCAGACATAGATATGGAATAAATGTTTGTCAGATAGCAACCATAAACAGTCGGGCATAGATATGGAATAAATGTTTGTCAGATAGCAACCATAAACAGTCGGGCATAGATATGGAATAAATGTTTAACAGATAGCAATCATAGACAGTCAGACATAGATATGGAATAAATGTTTGTCAGATAGCAACCATAAACAGTCAGGGGTAATACTTGTAAATCCCTTAGACCTCCAAAAAATTTATTTATCGAAATATCTTCTTTTTTTTTTACAACCCCTGAAATTGTGAGGTTTTGGGACTTCAAAACATGCCTAAAATATTTTTTCTGAATAAGATTTTCATACAATTTTCTAATTAGAGTTCAACTTTTTGTATCAAAAACTGTTCAATTAGATTTACTGGGTACACATGTTAAGTAACTATGCAAGGCCTTCAAAAATTGCTTCTTGAGAAAATATCTTACCAAATGAAATTTTTATAATGCCCCTGCCATCACTGGAGGGAGCATTAAGTGTTACCCTTGTGTGTTCGTTCGTCTGTCATACGTCCCAAAATTGGTTTCCGTTCTCTTAACCTCAACCAAATGTTATGAAACTTATACACAATGCTTATTACCACAAAACACAGATCAGGTTCGAATTTTGGTGGTGTCACTTTTATCGTTTTAGAGTTGTGTCCCTTTACAAGTTTCCGTTCTCTAAGTTAAGTTTGCCTCAACCAAATGTTATGAAACTTATACACAATGCTTATTACCACAAAACTCAGATCAAGTTCAAATTTGGGTGGCGTCACTTTTAATGTTCTTGAGTTATGTCCCTTTATAACTTTATATGCAAGTGGGGGCATCATCTGTGTCCCATGGACACATTCTCCATTTATTGTACATGAAATTGTAATTGAATGAATAGTAAAGACAACTATTAAGTACAGACAATCATTCACTTTATTAGAACAATGCAATAAAGAGAAATTCAAGAAAGGAGAAACGATTTATTTATATACATTTAGAGCTATTTTCCTAATGCTTGTAGTTTAAATGGTTTGGTTCGCTTGCTTTCTTTGTTTGTATAAATGTGTGTTCAAGCATTGTAACTAAGATTGACATCAGCAATCAGTAGATAGGCGGGGCCATCATCTTGTATACATTATACTTAAATGTTACTGGATGTTAAGTATAATGCAGAGTAAAATGTATACAAGCTGAAGCCCCGCCTATCTATTGATAGTGATGTCAATCTTAATTACAATGCTTGAACAAACATTTATACAAACAAATTAAAGCAAGAGGAAAATAGCTCTAACTAATATTTTACAACAGGATTTTTTTTACATTCTTTTTGTCAACTCTTTTTTTTTTTATGTACCAGTGGCATTGTTAATAAAGTTATCAAAATACTGGACAGTCAATTTCATTATGTACCATGATGATGATTTTAAAATTAAATATTGATATTTTTGAGTTCATTTATATATAATTTATGACGATTGAAAAAAGGTCAGATTAATCAGTTTAACATTTTTGGTATTCAATATCCAGTCCTTCCGCCAGTTAACCAGTGAACTGTTGACAACATAACATTATAGTGAAAGCAGTATCGTCAGGTAATTACACATTGCCCATGCCAAGTAAGGATGGGTTGATAGAAGCCTTGCTCATATTATTGAATTATATTTACAGTAAATGTGATATCCATGGAAGTGACCTACTTTATCTGTGGTGTGATATTTGGAATTCTAGTAAGGTCTAGAGTTTGGGATTATGCAATTACAGTCACAGTTATCCATATATTAGTCTCTTGTTTAGGTAAGATTTTAATTAAAGTTATTAAAAAAGAATTTGATTCATTTTAGATATTTTTATTTGTACATATGAATTTCTTTGAAAAACCATAAATGTGTATTCCTTTTTATATCAATGTATTTATTGTACATGTTGTATAGGTAAGGATTCTGCTTAAAAAGACAAATAAAATTGAGAATGAAAATGGGGAATGTGTCAAAGAGACAACAACCCGACCATTGAGCAGACAACAGCCGAAGGCCACCAATGGGTCTTCAATGCAGTGAGAAACTCCCGCACCCGAAGGCGTCCTTCAGCTGGCCCCTAAACAAATATGTATACTAGTTCAGTGATAATGGACGTCATACTAAACTCCAAATTATACACAGGAAACTAAAATAAAAAATGATACAAGACTAACAAAGGCCAGAGGCTCCTGACTTGGGACAGGCGCAAAAATGCGGCGGGGGTTAAACATGTTTTTTGAGATCTCAACCCTCCCCCTATACCTCTAGCCAATGTAGAAAAAACAAACGCACAACAGTACATACAGTAAAACTCAGTATAAGAGAAGTCTGAGTCCGATGTCAGAATAGGAAACAAAAGAAAATAAACAAAATGACAATAATACATAAATAACAACAGACTACTAGCAGTAACTGACATGCCAGCTCCAGACCTCAATTAAACTGATTAAAAGATTATGTCTTCATCATATGAATATCAGTCACAATCCCTACCTTTTCATAATTTGTGTGAATTATTTTTAGCACACCATTCAGTTCAGTTTGAGTTATTTCCCTTTTTTGTGTCTATTGATGTTGATTCATTTTATATATCAGTACTTCCAAGTTTCATAATAAGACAGAATTTGTTGATGCCTTCCTATATGACATAGGTTAAGACTTCTGTGTAAGAAACAAAAATTGTTCTGTATTGCATTGCGTAAAGTAAATTTTTGTAACACTTTGTAGCTCACATTTTAGGTCAGAGTGAGATATTTCCTACACCAAACATCTGTTCATTTGTAAACATTTTTTTTGGAAAGTCTCAAAAATCAACTGGAAAATTTTTAACCCAAACATGGAGATGGTATAATTGCCATTGACAAAAATTTCCATTAAGAACAAAGGACAAAGAAATATACAACTACAGGTCACAATTTTGCCTTCAACAATAAGCAAAACCCATTCTGCATAGTAAGCTTCAAAAAGCCCTGTCATGACAAAATGTGAAATAATGAAGATATTAAACCAACGGCCTGATTCATAAAACAATTTGGCAGTCAGCAACCAACAACAACCACTGGTGTACAGGCACATGAAGAATCTTTGGCTCAGTTAAACATGCTTGAGAGCGCTCAAGGCTCATCTAACTTTGGACTGTAGTGTAACAACACAGCATAAAAACAAAATTTGAAAAATAATTTTGAAATGGCTAACTCAGCAAATTGATACTAGTCACAAAAACAAATAACAAAAAGACAAAAGATACAAAGTACCTATCTAAGAGTATTCACAGTTAGGAAAGCTAATTCAGTCTTATTTCATACATCAATTCATTACATATTCGACTCTTTTCAGTGATGTTGGCTTTTCCCATGAACTGGTCATGGTGGGTGTGCTTAGGTAAGTACTAGTTATATAACTACTTGTGTAATCCAGGGTTATTGACCAAATTCATCTTTTATGGTTCACCTCTATAAATGTAACAACTAAGAGTATTCGATTATATTATAGTTTCCCTTTTCTTTGTTGATGACATTGATATTGATTTCATTAATTAAAAACAAAGAAATTTTATTTATTTTCAATGAATTGCGATTCAGTTTGATATATATAACTGTTGACACCTGTGTCAGAATTCATCATCTGACAATTGATTTTTTTTCATAAGGTTTTCTTTTCTCTTTTTTTTTTTCATGTTAGGCGCATAGTTATGAAGAAATATTTGAAAACCCCAAGATTTCTTCATAACTTGAATCAGAAACTCCAATAACACTTTGAACTGACATAATATATCTTTCTTTAAGGATGTGGTTTAACAGTGTTGATTTTGGTGGGAGAAGCTGTTGGATTTGCAAGAAGAAAGAAATCTTTAACCAAAGTTAACCCAGAACCCTCACAAACAAACACAAGCTACCTCTACAGAAAAGGATAAATACGGAGAGATATCTACGATCTATTAAGAGAAAGAAAGATGTAGTTCCAGTAGCAGAGATTGACCAGCTTCCAACTTTTAATAGTCCTAATACCTAGATTGGACTATGTAACATTGGACCCTTTACATTTATTAATAATTGATTAAAATTCAATGTCTAGCTGCACCATACTTTTTTATGAAGAATAAGGGTACCTTTAGTGACTTCTTTCAGTAGGGGTAACTGAATGTATAAGAATAAGATGTATGCAATTTTTTAGTATAATATCCTCTAGACTCCTACATGAATAATTATGTTCAAAACTGACACCAAATAGTATACTACATAAGAGTTAATTTTGTTTTAAAAATGTCATAGAAAAACTTAAAGGAATATATATGAAAGAGTGGAAAGTGAAGGTATTTAATGATGTAAGAAATAATAATAACCCAAAATATAAACTTTGTACATTTCCTTAATTAAATCATATTTTAATTTCGAAATTGAAAAAGGAAGACACAAATAACAGTCTAGCTTCTGAGCCTATTTGTAAATTTGCAAGGAGGAAGTGGAAGATGCGGTCCACTTTCTCCTCACTTGTAAAATTTTAGAAAAAAATATACATCAGAGATCTTTGTAATACATAGCTTAATTTAAACAAATGTAAGCCAGAAAATATGTTTATATGGCTAATCGGCTATGAGAATCCAGAAGCCATAAAAACATTTGTAATTTAATAATCAGTCTCTGGACTGAAAGAGATTTGATTTCAAAAACAATATGAAATCCTTAATGTTAGTGTAATGAATTGGTGAATCATTCCTAGGCAAACTTTATATGATATATATACATGTGCAATTTTGTACACTGCAATATTACATTTTTACTTTATTTTGTAATTATAATGCCCTTTTGGGCATTTTATTTGACAATAAAATTATTGTTTTGTGCTGTATTGTATTTCATACCTGATAATTTATGAATTTAGACCCCTTCTTTCTGTAGAACCAAAATGATGGAATTTAGAAGGAGAGTACACATTCAGCTTTTAAGAAATAAGCTCTGCCAGGGTAACAGTTGCTTCAACAAAAATTTTGAACATTTTAAGAAACTGACCCGCTTATCACTTAATATGACCCTTTGAAGCTGTGACTGATGATTAGTTATTCAAGACAGTTCTATATGTCACATAATATTTATCCATGATGGTATACTTTTATCCATGGTAAGTATGCATATTTTGCATAAATAATAATCATTATTTCAAATAAGAAAAAAATGCTATTTTTGCAGTTATTAATTGGAGGTAAAACCTCTCAATTTTTAGCTGGGACCAATAGTCATGTATTAGTCCCAGATTGAAGACTAAGGATGTAATTTTTACTGAAAAAAATTATGCACTTCTACTTATGAAAAAAAAATGGTAATTTCGTTTGTGTAATGTAAACTTAACACATGAAAGTGTGACTTTACTTTGATAAAAATTAAATAAATAATGTGACTTTAGTGACAAACTAAGATTAATAGACATAAAGCTCATTTTATCTTAAGAAAAATTGCTTTATTTTCTAAAGAATGGCAGTAATGCAACTATATGCAATAGTGCTATACATGTATCAAGATGATGGATGGTTTTTTTTTCATAACCTCACTTCAATCGAAGATTAAGATATTGTTGGAAATTATGCACACAACTCTTCAAATCTTTCCACCAGTGATTTTGATTATAAGATTTAATAAATAAATAGTCTTTCATAGATACAAAGATTTGATTAGTAAATTTGGCTGTACCTGTAGAAAACTTATTAAAATTGGTATTTCACATCCTAAATTTTACGGTAATATTGTACTAAAAGCGCGGAAATCACTATGTGATCCGTGTAAACTTATCGAACCTTTAAACAAACTTATTAGTAAAGGTTATCTTATTAATGTTGTAATAAGATCTTTGAATTTTGGAACTTTCATTTGTGTATTTAAGGCAATATAAAGTTTGGGATTCAAAATTCTACATAATATTTGACTTTATACAGAAAATTTGCCCTTTTAAAACATTTAATGTTTCCCAAGTAATACATCGATACAAAGTAAAATAATTTCTCAAAACACTGCAAAAATTTCGTTCTGATTGGTATAGTGGTATTGTCATAAAGTGCGCTGAAATGAACCATGGTATAGCAAACATCAAATTCCCTCACAAAAATGTTATCACACACTATAGGATTGTCAGTTTTCATGTCTAAGGTTGATGGTTTTCTCTGGGCACACCTGCTTCCTCCTTCAATAAAAACTGACCGCCTTGAAATATTAGTAACCAATGGTGTTGAAAGTGACGTTAAACGCCAATCAATCAATCAATGTTTTCTTGGTTATATCTGTTTATGTTAGCTATTTGTCAATTATTGTGGGTGCATGTATAGACTATGGGATGTTTTTAATGAACATACTACAAACTGTTTGAAGGGCAATTGAAGCCATTTTCCATTCTCAATTTTATTACTAAATGCTTTACCAAGTCAGGAATATGACATTGTTTTCCATTCGTTTTTCTTGGAGTTCGGTATTTTTGTTATTTTACTTTTTTCATAGATAGAAAGATTTGGTATATCTGTATCTGTAGAATACTTATTACAAACGGGATAGCACATCCTAATTTTTACGGTGATATTACTCAAGCCCGTAAATTAAGATACAATCAGGGTAAACTTATCGATTCTTCAGGAAACTTGTTTTAAAAAGGCAAGGACGTATAACTAACATATACGTCCTTGTAAAAGGTTACCAATTTAAAACTGTTATTAGATCTTTGAATCTTGTTTTTATCGGCATTAAGTTTTACCCTTGTCTGTCTGTACGTCCGTCCGTAGTCCGTTCATACCAACTTGAATTATTTTCCGTTTTAAGCCTCAATCAAATGTTATGAAACTTATACACAATTCTTATTACCACAAAACACAGATCAAGTTTGAATTTGGGTGGCGCAACTTTTACCTTTCTAGAGTTATGCTCGTTACAAATGGAAAAATTGTTAAATTTTTCGTTTCCGTTCTCACTTAAGTTTGCCTCAACCTGGGAACAGTATATCAATATATATGTTCCTGCCTCAACCAAATGTAATGAAACTTATACACAATGCTTATTACCACAAAACTTTGATCAAGTATGAATTTGGGTAGGGTCAGTTTTACTGTTCTTGAGTTATGTTCCTTTATAAAGTTATATGCAAGCGGGGGAATCAACTGTGTCCCATGCCATGATCGGCGCGGGACGTTTGCGCTTTTTCATAGGACATTTTCGCTTTTTTTAATGGACATTTGCGCTTTTTAGATATGGACATTTGCGCTTTTACAATATTTTCGTTATGGTTAAAAGTTAGTCATTCCATAGCACATTCGTGTTTAAAAGTAATTTCATAGCACATATAGTAATATATACCTAAAGGTAAACATTATAAAGACATCAAAGACACGCATAGTTATCACAGGTCAGTTTAAGCTTGATATCTGAAGCCCAAGGAATGAACAATTTTGCTCTTGTAATCTGTTCTGACTAGTATTTCGCCCTCATTTCAAATACGTATTCTAGTCTCTATTTCTCAATTCTTGACTGAGATGCCTGTTCATCAATATAACGAATTTTAATGTAATTAACCGACTATTGTTCAAGGATAAAAATCCATCGTGACAATTGTCTCTATAACTTTATACTCTATGTTTAAGACTGTGTCAATGAGAACTAACTAACGACAAATGCAAGTTGAATTTATTTACGTATAACTCATTAAAATTACAGGTAGACGACTAAAGGTAAAAAATTCGTAAGGGTTCCGCTGCACCCAGTTTCTCGCCTATTTTTGCTGTTAATCGCAGGCTCAACAAAAATGAGATGAGGAAAAAATTTAATAAAAATATTCCTCTCGATACAATTTTTTTATTGTAAGAAGCTTCTGTCCAAGTTTGGTAAAAATCCCGGATAGTTTATGAATCTAATAAATGTTTTAAAAAATTTAACTGCAGACTGTATGTAATGTTAACTGGAAGAAAAACTAAGTCCATTTATAAGTAAAATATGGATAAACAAGCACAAAATTTTAATAAAAATTTCCTTCTAGATACTAGCTTTTGATCATAAACAAACTTCTGTCCATGTTTGGTACAAATCCAGGATAGTTTAAGAAAGTAATTAAAATTTTAAAAACTTTAACCACAGAGTGAATGTAATGTTTCCTGGCAGAAAAACTAACTCCATTTATAAGTAAAATACGGAAAAACAGGATTTTTTTTTTAATTTACTAGCTTCTGGATACTATCATATGATCATAAACAAACCTCTGTCCAAGTTTGGTAGAAATCCAGGATAGTTTGAGAAAGTTATTAAAATTTTAAAAACTTTAACCACAGAGTGAATGTAATGTTTCCTGGCAGAAAAACTAAGTCCATTTATAAGTAAAATACGGAAAAACAGGAATTTTTTTTACAAAATTTACTTCTGGATACTATCTTATGATCATAAACAAGCTTCTGTCCAAGTTTAGTAGAAATCCAGGATAGTTTAAGAAAGTCATTAAAATTTCAAAAACTTTAACCACAGAGTGAATATTTGTGGCCGCCGACGACGACGGAATGTAGGATCGCTATGTCTCTATTTTTCGACAAAAGTCGAAGGCTCGACAAAAAGCGCAAATGTCCGGTCAATTTACTACAGGTGTATCAACATTAAAAGTGCAAATATCCTATCGTGTAACAGGTAAAAAAGCGCAAATGTCCTATCGTGTTACAGGTAAAAAAGCGCAAATGTCCTATCGTGTTACAGGTAAAAAAAGCGCAAACGTCCTGTGCCCGCCATGATGGACACATTCCCCATTTATTTTATCAATGAATTAAAACCCCAACTAAATATAACTACTATACACCAATCAATATTCACGGTCCGACATTCTGGTGATACTTGTATTTTGGTATTGCATAAAATCATGATTTTCTCTGACTGTTATTGACGTCTTTGAACTTAATCCATTGGATGTTAGCAGAGACTCTGATATTAGATAGTCGTAGATACATGATTTTTGTCGAGCCTGCGACTTTTGTCGCAGAAAGCTCGACATAGGGATAGTGATCCGGCGGCGGCGGCGTTAGCTAACTTCTTAAAAGCTTTATATTTTAGAGGGTGGAAGATATGGATGCTTCATACTTTGTATATGGATGCCTCATGTTACGAAGTTTCCGTCAGTCACATGTCCAATGTCCTTGACCTCATTTTCATGGTTCAGTGACTACTTGAAAAAAAAGTTAAGATTTTTTGTAATGTTTAATTCTCTCTTATTATAAGTAATAGGATAACTATATTTGGTATGTGCGTACCTTGCAAGGTCCTCATGCCCGTCAGACAGTTTTCACTTGACCTCGACCTCATTTCATGGATCAGTGACCAAGGTTAAGTTTTGGTGGTCAAGTCCATATCTCAGATACTATAAGCAATAGGTCTAGTATATTCGGTGTATGGAAGGACTGTAAGGTGTACATGTCCAACTGGCAGGTGTCATCTGACCTTGACCTCATTTTCATGGTTCAGTGGTTATAGTTAAGTTTTTGTGTTTTGGTCTGTTTTTCTTATACTGTATGCAATAGGTCTACTATATTTGGTATATGGAATGATTGTAAGGTGTACATGTCTAGCTGGCAGGTGTCATCTGACCTTGACCTCATTTTCATGGTTCAGTGGTTATAGTTAAATTTTTGTGTTTTGGTCTGTTTTTCTTATACTGTATGCAATAGGTCTACTATATTTGGTGTACGGAATGATTGTAAGGTGTTCATGTCTAGCTGGCAGGTGTCATCTGACCTTGACCTCATTTTCATGGTTCAGTGGTCAAAGTTAAGTTTTTGTGTTTTGGTCCGTTTTTCTTATACTGTATGCAATAGGTCTACTATATTTGGTGTATGGAATTA